GATGGATGGATGGGTGGATGGGTGGATAGATGGATGGGTGGATGGATGGATGGGTGGATGGATGGATGGGTGGATGGATGGGTGGATGGGTGGATGCATGGGTGGATGGATGGGTTGATGGACAGCTAGATGAATGGCAAGCTGGAAGGCTAGGTAGATGGGTGGATGGATGGGTGGATGGGTGGATGCATGGGTGGATGGATGGGTTGATGGACAGCTAGATGAATGGCAAGCTGGAAGGCTAGGTAGATGGCTAGATGGATGGATAAATGAATGAATGGATAGATAAATGGGTGGACGGATGGACGAACAAATAACATGATATCTGCTCTAATATCATGAGTGGCAACTTCTGAGAAACTTGAGAAACTCACTTCCTCCCTGGTGGTCAATGGCTAAGAAACCAAACTTAAAGTGGAACAGCATGGAAATCTCACCTCTTCACCAGCCAGGGCCACCATGTTGAGCCAATAGTAACAAAGAATTCCAATGATTGATATTTTCAGAAAGATGTTTCTAAATAACAGAAGAGAAAACAACTCTCATTACCTTCCACAGCAGTCATTAGTGCTATTCACCAATGCTTCCTTTTGGGCACTTGGTAGGAATGCAATTCCTTCCCCCTAGTGGTTTCAGTGGGCTGGTTCTGCCATCTGGTTGGTTCCAGAAAATGAGTTGTGAGCCGAAGTAATGTGTGTTATTTTCTGTCACTTCTAGGCTGGAGCATTTAAATGCCAGTGAGACCCTCCAGAACTTACTGTCTTCCCTCTGGAACAGCCATCAGCAATATTCAAGAAGGTTAATGCTCTCTCAGCCTGGATCCTTGCGTGACTAACATGAGTAAAATTCCCTGCCAATCGACAATGGACATGCAGCATGAGCAAGAAATAAACCTTTGTGTTCCAAGCCACTGAGATTTGCGGGAGGGGGATGTTTGTTACTGCAGCATAACCTAATTTATTCTGACTGATACACCCTCTTTTGTGCATCTCCAAACTATCTGATTTCACTTCTTATTGTAATAGCAGTAAACATACATACTATTCATTGGGTGCTACCACAGACAGTACATTGTGCTGAACACTTTACTGAATCATCTCTCTTAATCTTTACAACTTTATCATGAGGTAGACAGTATCTTATGCCTGTCTTACTGATGAGGAAACTGAAGCTCAGAGAGATGAAATCACTTGTCCAAGGTCACACAGCTTGTTAGGGGCATGACAAAGATTCAAACCAAAGACCATCTGATTTAACAGCCTGAGCTCTTGAACCCAGTCACTTTGCCTAGATTGCCACCTGCTGGTTTTAAATAGGGCTTCAGCATCGGTGTGCTGAGAAGCCTGTGCCACTAGACCAGTGGTTCTCAAGGTGTGTGGTCCCCAGACCAGCAGCAACAGCATCATCTGTAAACTTGTTAGAAAGGCAAATTTTCAGGCCCCAGCCTAGATCTACTGAATCAGACATTCTGGGGGTGGAGCCCAGCAACCCCTCTGGGTAATTCCGGTGCCTGAAGGTTGAGAACCATTGTGCTGGACTCCATTGCGAAGGAAGGGAATCTGATCTGCCTTTTTCAGTGCCAGATCCCCAACTCTGCCCAGTGCCCTAGGCTGGGGTAGACCCTCAATATCTCCTGGGTTAATGCTTTAGTAAACTGTGATATTCTGAGTTATAAGAAATATATATTTGGTCTTCGTCCCCGTTTCTGGCGCAGGGCTCCTAAAACCTCTGTAAATTTCCTAAGTGGGGAGATGGATCACGGTGTCTTTTGTTATGATAATGAGTGATGCTTGGACCACACCTAAGGATGGGGGCTGGTTGCCAGGAGAACCAACCATGTGATTAGAGGGTTGGAACTTTCAGCCCCACCCCCGACCTCCCTCTTTATAGCCACATCCCACATTTTGCTCACTTTTAATGGAATGCTAATTTTATATGCATTCTCCATACCCCAATTTAGATGAGGCACCCAGTTGAGCATAGTTTTTATCTAAATGTGCCACATCCCTGGTGAGAAATATGCTGCCTGCAGTGTAATTATGCATTCAGAAGGGAGGGGAGAGGGGCTGGAGGTTGAATTGATGGCCAACGGCCATTGAGTTAATCAATCTTGCCTGTGTAATGAAGCCTCCATAAAAACCCAAAAGGACGGGGTTGGGAGAGCTTCTGGATTGGTGAACATATGGAGGTGCTGGGAGATGGCGGGCCTGCAGAGGGCATGGAAGCTCCATGCTGGGTCCCCATATCTTATCCTAAGCATCTCTTCCATCTGGCTGTTCTAGAGTTATATCCTTTTATAATAAACCAGCAATCTACTAAGTAAAATGTTTCTCTGCGTTCTGTGAGCTGTTCTAGCAAATTAATCAAACCTGGAAAGAGGGTCATTTGGAATCTGCGATCTATAGCTGGTTGGTCAGAATTACAGGTAACAACCTGAATTTTCAATCCGCATCTGAAGTGGGGGTGGGGGGACAGTCTCCTAGAACTGAACTCCTAACCTGTGGAATCTCCAGGTAGATAGTGTCAGAATTGAGTTGCACGGTAGGACAGCCAGCTTGTGTTGGAGAATTGTTTGGTGGGGTGGGGAAACCTCCACACATTGGAATTGGTGTCAGAACTTCATACACCTTGACTGCAGTGTAGCTCCAGGTTTAGCTTGAAAACACACTCTTCTCAGCCAAGAAAAGCTTATCGTAGATCAGAAAGATTGTGTATTTCTGAGCTTTACCATTTTCTCTTAATGTAGAGAGGATTTCGAATGTTTTGTGAAGCATTACAAACGGCTAGTGTATATGAAAAGACAATTAACCTCTCTAGTGATCAGAAAAATGCAAATTAAATAAAGCGATTGGATCAAAATGGCACACTGAGCATACGTGCCCACCGCTCCTCCATCCAAATTCTGTTGAAATGATAGCAACGCTAGATGCTAAAAGATCCATAATGCAACGGAAAACAAGAAAAATCATCACGAACAGATCAGAAACATAGAGGAATTTATGCACAGAAATAAAGGATGGAAAGATAAAAAGATGAAAGGGGTTGATGGAGAAATATGACTGGAGAAAACCCCAGCTTAAAACAAATTTGGCGGAGGATGGCCTCAGAGGCAGAGGTAGCTCAGGGGATGCCTGGGGCTTAGAGATGGCCAATACGAAGGATCTGGAAAGGGCAGCTGGCGGATAATTTGCCCTCACTGGGCGTTACAGAATCTCAGAGCAACCCCTGTAGACTCTGCAAGAGGATAGTAGCAATACAGAGTCTTTGGCCCAGCCAAACTCATGTTCAAGTAGAAAGGCAAAATAAAGACATGTTTGCACATGGAAGTACTTAGGAAGTTGACTATCCCCAGACTACCTAAATTAATGTCTTATCTTCTCTTACAATATAAAAAGGGGAGGTTGTAAGTAGGATGCCTTAAACCAACACTGGTGAGCAAAGAAGCTAGTGCAATTTACTGTTGATGCATATGTTACAAAAAATAAACCTCTTAATGCCACTGAATTGAACACTTAAAAATGATTAAAATGGCATAATGCATATATATATATATATATTTAATACAATAAGAAAAAGTCCCAGTTGTTTCCAACCATGGCAAGGAGGCATCCAGCAGGGTAGGTGAGTAGAAGTGAAGGCTTAGTAAGTTTTTTTTTCTTTGGGAGAATAATACACATACAGATTAACTCTAAAACACTGATCTAGGGGCCGGTCCGGTGGCGCAAGTGGTTGGGTGCGCGCGCTCTGCTGCGGCGGCCCGGGGTTCGCTGGTTCGGATCCCGGGCGCGCACCGACGCACTGCTTTGGCGAGCCATGCTGTGGCGGCATCTCATATAAAGTGGAGGAGGATGGGCACGGATGTTAGCCCAGGGCCGTCTTCCTCGGCAAAAAAAGAGGAGGATTGGCGGATGTTAGCACAGGGCTGATCTCCTCACAAAAAAATAAATAAATAAATAAAACACTGATCTAGAAAAGGAGTCAGCAAACTTTTTCAGTAAAGGGCCAGATAGTAAATTTTTCAGCATTGAGGGCCATACAGTCTGTGTCACAACTACTTGACTCTGCAGTTGTAGCAGGAAGGCAGCCATAGCCAATATGTCAACAAATAGACATGGCTGTGTCCCAATAAAACTTTATTTATAAAAACAGGAGGCAGGCTGGGCCTGCAGGCTGTAGTCTGTCAACTCCTGATCTAAAACATATACATACGTGTGTGTGTGTGTGTGTGTGTTTAAATATGCTTGTTATAAATTTAAGGGTAACAAAAATGTGTAAGATCTGCATAAAGAAACTATAAACAAAGATGTAAGCATACATATGCTCTCTGTACGAAGAACATCCCAGGAAGAAGGAAGGGCCAGTGCAAAGGCCCAGAGGTAAGTATGCAGTCTGGCATGTTTGTGAACAGTCAGAAGGCCAGCGAGGCTGGGGGAGGGGCAGTGGGGAAGGGGGAGGGGGTAGAAAATGAGGCTGGAGAGCTGGCCAGGAGTCAGATCTTGGAGGCCATGGTAAAGCCAGGGCTCGGGGATTGAGCCATAAAGAAATTCAATCTGCGTTGTTCAACCCTACTACTCTAAATACCACCATAACAGGGAACTGGTCAGGAAACCAGCCGAGAAAAAGCAATAGGGACCCAGTTTGGGTAATTTTATGCTTTGTTTATCAAAACCTTGGGGTCACCTCTGGCACATATAGTGCCTTTGTGGGAATCACAGCCAATGAATTGCCAAAAGCACTTTCTCCACCTCCTTTTGGGTGGCTGAATTACAAAAATGTACCTCCTCCCCCTGGCTGATGCAGAGGGGATCAGGGCTCACAGTGTGACCAGTGGGAACACTGGATGATTTCAGTCCCTACACAACAACTCAGCCAGAAACCTTTGTGCAGTGCACAACCTGCACATCTGTACATCTGATAACCGAGAAGAACTGTTAATCCTCAGGCTGGTAGCAACTGGGAAAGACAAGCCATTACTTCGAGCAAAAGGCAGATGTACTCAACAACTGTATTTTCTCAGGGCTCTGAGATTCAGCATTGTGGGCCATACAGTCTGCGGATTGTATGGCTATTAACCCACACCACACAAACGCACTGTACTCTTGAAATTTTCTCTGGCAAACAGAACTTTGATACTTGAGTGTAACCCTTTCGAGCTCCCAGCCCCTTTCCCTCCGTGGAAATGGAGGCTGGTGTTGGAAGGGACACACCCACCGGATCAGGAGGATGTAGACCTCGTGCCTGGGCACCTCGTAGTGCTCCACCAGCCGGAATGCAGAGTAGAAGCGCGGGACAGCCAGGTTGATGCAGGACACCACCAAAGGCAGCAGCAGCACCGCCCCGGCGTTCCTGTGGCTCTTCAGGAACTGCAGGGGACAGAGGGAGAGGATTGAGAGGCCAGCTGTGCACTGGACCCCCCACTGCCTCACTCAGAAGACACCCCACCCCCCCGCCCCATGATGGAAAGACCCCAGAAGGAGCTCCTCTGGGGTTAACCATTAAGCTACCATTTATTGAGCACTTACCCTGTGCCAAGCATTACCCACATGATTGCATGAATCCCCACTGCAGCACAGCAGGGGGGTCCTCACAGACTTCACTAATGGGCAAAGTGAGGCTCAGAGAGGTGAAGATGCTTGCCCAGCGTCACCCAGCCAGGAAGTGGCAGATCTGAACCCAGGTCTATCTGACCCAGGGGCCTGAACTCAGACAGCCATTCTCTGACTGCCTGCCTTACCAAGAGGTCTGGGAAATGAGAATGTGCTCCCTGGCTGTCGGAGCAAAACCTTGAGTCTGCTGAAGCAACAGCACAGGGTATCGAGCACCGGGGCACTTCCCCTCCCCTCTCCCGCCTTGTTCATTTTCACCAGGCACCGCCTGTCGTTGGTGCTGAATTAGGGGCAAGGGGAGCCTCCGCTATAGCCGTGCCGCATCTTAGCATGAGGGCCCCTTCCCGAGAGGCGCCCCGTCCCTCATGTGGACGCCACCCTGGCGTTCGGCCTGGAGTGGAGCCTGGGCTGCCCCTCTGCCAGGCGTCCTTGGGGCAAGGGATTCCAGTGGATTTATCTGATGTCTCACAATAGAGCGTAACCTGGGTTCAAATGCTGCCCCCTTCCCCATGCTTAGAAGCTGCAAGGTCTGAGGCCAGATGCACAGCTTCTCTGAGCCTCCTTCCCGTCTGTATAACAGGCAGATTATCACATAATCCATAGAGACACTGCAAGAATTAAATGAGACCAAATAAGGCAAGGTCTGGCCGCTAAATGACACAGCTGGGGCACCATTCACATGAAACTGTAGCTGCCAATGAATGTGACCCCTGGAGTTGTGCAAAGGGTGGATCCTGCCGGGTACAGGGCAGATGTCCCAACAATGGGCTTGATTCTACCCCCTCTCCTCCTCAGCCGCCCTCCTCACTTGAGGTAGGCGTGGAGAAAACCTTCTGGGTGAAGAAGAAACCCAGAAGTCTTCTTTATACCTACAGCTGCCCTGTCATAGCTTCCACCCTAGGTAGGCAATGCCAGGCCCCCGAGGACTGTGACTCAATTTCCCCCTTTCAGGCACACCTTAATATTGTTAAGGGAAAATCCTTAGGTTTGTATAATCCCACACCCTTCTTCTTGCTGGCTTCTACTCCACTTATTCCTCTGTTTGGTTGAGCACCTACCATGTGCCAGGCTTTGGGCCAGGTGCCCTGTCCAGTTTTTTGAAGAAAAAGACGAATAAACAAGGATTTTCAATGCTGTGTGTGACAAGCGCCCAGGGAAAGCCCGCAGAGTCAAGAGCACCCATCTCAGCCTAATGAAGGTGGTGGTGGTGAGAGAAGGCTTCCTGGGGAAGTGTCACCCGTGCTGAGGTCTAGAGGAGGAGGAATAGGAGTTTGCCAGATGAAAGAAAGTGGGGAGTAGAGAATGAACTGCATGTTTCCCACCTAAAGATGAGGAAAAGCATGGTATGTTCAGGAAATTATGGACACATCATTCAGTGTTGCTGGTGTGGGATATGGGTGGTTGTGGGGTATTGAAGCTAAAGATGTGTGGGCAGGGGTCAGATCATAAAAGATCTATCAATCATGCCACGGAGGGTAGATTTTATATTGGGGGCAATGGGAAGCCATTAAAGAAAGTGACACAATCAGACCAACCTGCACCCCAATTCTAGAGGTCAGCAAACTGGCTACAATGAGCCCTATTTTCCAGAGGAGAAAGATGAAATTACAGAAAAACTGTACTTTGCCCAGACAACCTTGTTAAATTAAACTCAGAGTTATATCATTAAAACTAAAAGAGGGAACATTCTTTCATCACCCACAGTGCCAGGCACTGGGTAGACACTCCACATAATTTTTCTCTGGTCCTAACCACATACCTACAAAGCCAAGTATAATCATTCCTGTTTTACAGGTGAGGAATCCGGGGCTTGGAAAAATTAAATCACCTGCCACAGTCCATCAGGTCACAATACTTATTGAGTGTCTACTCAGTGCCAAGGGCTGTGGGAGGCATTAGGAATATGATCATAAAGGAAGAAACCAGAACTTGATCCCAGGTCTGCGGCCGAAGTTCCCACCTCAGCACACACATCACAGGGGGATGCTGTTAAGATGCAGATTCTGAGTCCGCGGATGGAGGGACCCGAGATTCTGCATTTTTCACAAACTTCCAGCTGATGCCGACGCTGCTGGTCACAGACCCTGGTCTGAGTAGGTGGCTCTGCTCCACTCCCCCATCCAGCGTCCTGTCCCTTCACCTGGACCCTAGTGCTCCCGGCTCTGGTTACCTGCAAGTTGTTGTCAGCCAGGTAATAAACGGCTACACAGCAGGCGACGGCCACTCCGGTAGAGACGACCCAGGCTGCCAGGTAGGCGGATGAGCGGAGCAGCCACTGATGGAGCGTTAACTTGATGCTCTCCTGACGGATTTCTGAGAGGTTCTCCTATTGACACAAGGAAGTCAGGTTCACTCACAGACCCTCTCCACTGTTAGCAAAGCCCCCTCAGACAAATAATCGCTGTTCCCAGAGACACAAACCCACCCCAGATCCACAGGCGAGAGAGAGGGGAAAGTTCATGATGAACGTGGATCGTGGGAGACCCGTGGGAAAAATCTCAAATGGGCCAAGAACCCCATCACTGCCTCAAACGCCTTTTCCATCTCAGAGGAACAGACAGGACCAACAGATGGGGGCCGTGCTCTTGAGGAAAGTGCACTGAGGTCACAGAGCTTTCTTGAAGAACAAGGCTGGGTATCGACGCCAAGGAAGAAGCTAATCTCCGCAACCCTCTTGTCAAAGCCCCTTTGCTGATCAATTCTGCCTGCTCTCCCCTTGCACTCAGTTTTTTCTATAGACCAACCTCGGCACTACTGACATTTGGGGCCGGACAGTTCTGTGTTGTGGGGCCGTCCTGTGCATTTCAGGATGTTTAGCCACATCTCTGGCCTCTACCCACTAGATGCCAGTAGTGCCCACTCTCCAATTTGGTAACAACCAACAAAGTCTCTAGACATTGTCATATGTGCCCTGAGGGGCAAAAGTGTCCCAAGTTGAAAACCACTGGATAAAACTTCAAACCTGGAACCGTGAGGTCAAAAAGTATTTACATTTAACCTTCTGACATAAATTGCTAAACTACCCTCCAGTAAGCTTGTACCCATTACAAAGCCACCGCATCATGTGAAAACGTCCATTTCCCTACATCAGCACCAGCACTGGGCATGACGAATACTTTCAGGGTTTTTTTTGCCAATCTTATGGGCCATAAAAAACAATTCATATTACTGTAAGACAAGTTACAGACACAGTGAAGGAGGGAAGGAGACTGGCCGTGGGAAGGTGCTGTGGAAAGCAAGCTTGCCTTACCCTTATCTCAGTGCTAAGATTCTTCTGTCTCAGCTTTACAGCCTTTTCATGAGTGACGGTGAAGTCCCAGCAAAAGATAAGTTTAGCGATCCCTCTGGAGTAGATGTGCGGGTTAATGAAATTGTTCCGGAAATACCTGGCCATGCTAGGGAACGCAGAAACCAAAATACCCAAGGGTGATTAGGACAGACATTGGGAGTGCAGAGATTAAAACAAAGGAACGTTCTAGCACTAACGGTGAAAGGTAACACGGCAGAGTTAGCCCCAAGTTCTTCTAGAACGGTGCAACAGCAAAAGCATAATGGTTGAGAGCACTGTCTTCAGGATCTGACAGGCCTGGCTTACAATCTTGGATTCGCCAGCTGGGGCATCGTGGTCATTTTAACTGTTCTGAGCCTCAGTTTCCATGTCTGTATAATGGGGATAATAATAGTACCCACCTCCCAGAGTTATTGTGAGAGTTGGATTAGCTTACTACGGCTGCTGTTACAAATTGCCCCAAATTTAGTGGCTTAAAAACAACATAAACTTATTATCTTACTGGAGGTCAGGAATCAGAAAATGGGTCTAAACTCAAGGTGTCAGCCGAGCTGTGTTCCTTCTGGAGGCTCTAGGGGAGAATCTGTTTCCCCGCCTTGTCCAGGGTCTAGAGGCTGCCTGCATTCCTTGGCTTGTGGTCCCTTCCACCTTCAAACCAGCAGAGTAGCATCTTCCACTCTCCCTCTGACTTTAACTCCCTGCCTCCCTCTTATAAGGACCCTTGTGATGACACTGACCTATTTTAAGATCCTTAATCACATCTGCAAAGTCCCTTTCGCCAGGTAAAGTAACAGTCACAGGTTCTGGGGATTAGGACACGGACATCTTTGGGAGGAGGGGGGTATTATTCGACCTACCACAAGAGTCTGTGAAGCGCTCAGAGCAGTTAGCACTCCAGAAAGGCAGCTGTGATTGTCATGGAGACATCAGCAGGATGCGGTGACATCAGACCCAGAAGTACTTAGCACTGAGCATGTGCTGGTGCTGGTGGCGAGGTGTTATGGGCTGAACCGTATCCCCCAAAAATTCACGTTGAGGTTTTAACCCCAAGAACCTCAGAAAGTGACTGTATTTGGAAACAGGGTCTTTACGGAAGTAACGAAGTTACAATGAGGTCATTAAAGTGGGCCCTAATCCAATACAACTGTGTCCTTAGAAGAAGAGGAAATTAGGACTCAGACATGCACAGAGGGAAGACTATGTGAGACACAGGCAGAAGGCAGTTGTCTACAAGCCAGCGAGGCCTCAGAAGAAACCAGCCCTGCTGACACCCTGATCTTGGACTTCCAGCCTCCAGAACTTGAGAAGATAAATTGCTGTTGTTTACGCCCCCCCGGTGTGTGGTACTTTGTTACAGGAGACCTAGTCCAGTACTACGGAGATTGAACATCTGTTCCCCTTTGACAACTATCAGTCAACAGTTGTTCATCCACGCCCTTCTATCCACATAACGACTCGAGTCACGGCATCCTTATTTTCAGACTGACCAATTTCTTTAAAAGCACACGAAAACCTCTCTTCCTCTGTCCAAACATATTTCATGTTATAGGACAAGGAACGATCAGACAGCAATACAAAGTCGCAATTGCAGAGAAACTGTAACTTTAATCTCCCGAATTCTGCCTGAGTCTAAAAAGAGCTCGGAATCAGGAAATGCAGACACTCCGTACCTGAACAGCAAACTGAAGAAGCAGACGATGAGACACGCCCCAATGGTGAAGATGTAGGCCAGCTGCATGTTGTAGGACGCCCCGCTGGGCCCGTGCCGGATGGTGGAATTGGTGTAGAAGCCGTAGTACATCACCGTGTCCCTAAAGTAACCCTGAAAGGGACAAGAGGCCCTAGGTCAGGGGTGTCTCCTGAGAAAATGAAGCATGACCACGGTCAGAAGAGTCGACCTCTTCTGTCTGTAAGAAGTGTGGACCAGTCAGTTTAGACATTTAGTTTGCCAGGGAAGGGGCACCCAAGGCCACTGAGAATCGGGACATTTTATCACTAGGCTCTCAGAATTGGAAAAGAATCCCAGACCAATATAACTTTACAGTGGGGGACCCAGCTGTCACCACCTGGACCCAGTGACCAAGCAAAGCAAGACCAAAAGCAGGTGAGCCAGCCACTATGTGCCTCTGTCACCTATTAAGCACTCTGGTCAAACATGTTTAATATGAAACAAATTAAGCCTTTAGGTCTAAATTTTAATTTACAGGAAATAAGTGGCCAGAGGAACAAATCAGACAGATCACGAGGGACCAATCAGACCCCTGCAGAAAGCAGGACACTGGTATCTACATGACAACTGACCTGGTTTCTGTAACAAGCCACTGTCAAGAAAAAAGGGGGCAGGGACTAGGGAGATTGTTCTAGATTGATAGAGACCTCAGAGAAAAAACAACTGAGGGGCCGGCCCTGTGGCATAGCGGTTAAGTGCACATGCTCTGCTGCTGGCAGCCCGGGGTTTGGATCCCAGGCGCGCACCAACGCACCACTTGTCAGGCCATGCTGAGGCGGTATCCCACATAAAGTGGAGGAAGATGGGCATGCATGTTAGCCCAGGGCCAGTCTTCCTCAGCAAAAAGAGGAGGATTGGCAACAGATGTTAGCTCAGGGCTTATCTTCCTCACACACACACAAAAAGAAGAAATAACTGAGTGCCAAGTGTGGTCTTTGATTGGATCCTGGTCTGAACAAGCAAGCTATGCAAGACATTTTGGGGACAACTAGGAAATTTTGAATGTGTTTTGGATTTTAGATGATATATATATATATTTTTTTTTGCTGAGGAGGATTGGCCCTGGGCTAACATCTGTGCCCATCTTCCTCTACTTTATATGTGGGATGCCTGCCACTGCATGGCTTGATAAGCAGTGCATAGGTCTGCGCTCAGGATCCAAACCTGCAAACCCCAGGCCACCAAAGTAGAGTGCTCGAACTTAACCACTACGCCACCGGGCTGGCCCCTTGATGATACTAAAATTTTGCAAGGTGTGATAACGTATAGTGACTACAGGAGAGTGTCCTTAGTTTTCAGAGATACACATTGAAGAAATTTGGACTGAAATGTCCTGATGTCTGTAATTACTGTAAAATACTTCCAAAAATAATAAGACAAAACAAATATGGCAAAATGTTAACACTTTAAAATCTACATAATGAGTATACAGGGGGCCGGCCCCGTGGCTTAGCGGTTAAGTGCACGCGCTCCACTACTGACGGCCCGGGTTCGGATCCCGGGCGCGCACCAACGCACCACTTCTCTGGCCATGCTGAGGCCGCGTCCCACATACAGCAACTAGAAGGATGTGCAACTATGACATACAACTATCCACTGGGGCTTTGGGGAAAAAAAGGAGGAGGATTGGCAATAGATGTTAGCTCAGAGCCGGTCTTCCTCAGCAAAAAGAGCAGGATTAGCATGGATGTTAGCTCAGGGCTGATCTTCCTCACAAAAAAAAAAAAAAAGAAAGGGTATACAGGTATTTATTTTACTATTCTTTATTTTTCTGAATGTTTGAAATTTTTCACATGAAAATGTTTCATATATACAGATATACATAATAAAGAGAAAAAAATGGAGATATATACACAATAATTCCATTTTAATGCATCTATCCCAAGGAAAAATTTGTTAAGAGAAAAAGAAACAGAAATGCTGAACGGAAGAACCTTACTTTGAACATTCTCCCGCAAGAGCCCGCAAACCTTTTCTGTCACGAGCCAGATGGTAAATATTTTGGGCTTGGCAGGCCAACATGGCCACGGTGCAGACGCTCATCTCTGCCTTGCAGCATGAACGCAGCACAGACACATAAGCAAGTGGTGCAGCCGTGTCCCAGAAGACCTTTATTTATCCACACTCAAATTTGAATTTCATAGAATTTTCATGTTTCACAAAAAGTTGTCCTTCTTTTGATTTTTTTTTCAACCAATTAAAAATGGAGAAACCAATCTTAGGTTGCAGGCTGTTCAACAACAGGCGGCAGGCCAGATTTGGCCCTCGGGCTGTCGTTTGTCAACCGCTGGTCTGCGGAATCTCAATGCAGAAATCTCTTCTAGAAGATAAAGTCATAAGCCAGGGCTATATGCCTCAAGAGGGAGCTAGGTAAATAAGTTATGGATGCTGTTAAAAAGAATAATGGGGATCTATATAGATGCTCGAGACATATAGTGAAGGAAAAAATGTCACAAAGAAAGACATAGTATCCTATCCTCTTTCTATTTTTCAAAAGAATGTTTATTTATCTATCTACCTATGGTGTTTTTTGTGCGTGTATATGAGGAAGATCAGCCCTGAGCTAACATCCGACGCCAATCCTCCTCACGCTACTTTTTTTTTTTTTTTTTTTTGCAGAGGAAGATTGGCCCTGGGCTAACATCCGTGCCCATCTTCCTCTACTTTATATGGGACACCGCCACAGCACAGCTTGACAAGCAGTGCGTTGGTGCGCGCCCGGGATCCGAACCTGCAAACCCTTGGGCCGCGGCAGCGGAGTGCGCACACTTAACCGCTGTGCCACCAGGCTGGCCCTATCTATGTTTGTATAGGAAGAAAAACAATGGACAAAGATACACTCCAAATTCGGATGTTAGACAAGAGAAGGGTACAACAAACTTTCTCTTAGTTTGTTATCTTCCATTTGTAGGAATTTTTCAAAAGGAGCATTGTATTTTGTAGAAAGAAAATTAAAAAGAAAGAAAAGGTAGATCTGTAAACACCAACATGAGTTGTCCACCACATATTAGGTGAAAGAAAGCAAGTTGTAGATAATATATATGAAGAGTTTGTCTTTTGCTAAAAAAAGAAAAGGACGCGCATGTACATGCATATCTGTGTCTGTATGTGTGCAGCACAGAGGATTCTAGACAGCAACACAATGTTGCTGTTAACGTGGTTACCTCTGGAGACAGAAATTCCACGATGCTGTCTATATGTTGCTTTAGCAGGGGTGGGATCATTTTAAACATCCACTTTCCCCACTAGTCGATTCCCGGGGAAACTGAGAGGTCTGGAAGGGTGACCAGCAAGGTACGTCCCTGGGTTTCCGAGTGGTGAACCCTGGGTGGGGGACATGGAGAACTTACCGCCCCAGTGAGAAGCTCCCACCCGGTGAACTGGAGGGTGTTCTTTTCAGCCATGGTCAACTGAGGGATTATGAGGAAGCTGAAGGTCACGATGAACGAGAAAATGTTGAACTTCAAAAGCCACCTCAGAAAGTTGAAGTAGGAGAGGACGCTGGTTCCGAACTTGCCCCCGATGACCTTGAGCGTCTTCTGCCACGGGCTGACGGAATTGAGCAGTTCCGACAGGCTGTTCTTGGATCTCCGGTACGCCTGGGGTTAGGACACAAAACGAGAGGCTTGATGCCCCCTCAACAAACATCTACTGAGCAGGCCCCCCAAAAGCACCAACAGCCACCATTTCTAGAGCATTCCAGCGTGCCAGGCACCATGTGCAAATGTGATCTCATTTAATCCTCAGGACCATCTCCAAAAGTGAGTGGTTATTGCCTTCCCAGGTTAGCTGTTGAAGGTGACACACACAGTGGCTAAGTTTCCCAAATAACTCAGCACCTTTTGGACCTTCGCACGCCCACCTGGCTCCCCCACACCTGGACTGACCCAGTTTCTCCGGCTGTCCATGAAACAGCCCTGGCTCCTCTTCCCCCTGGGTTCCCCTCTCATGCCCACTCTGCCAGCCCCCTATTTTCCCCTGCGCTGTGCCCAACTTACTGACGGCCGTCGAGGCTGCCTTACCAGGGAAACGGAGTTCAGACACCGCGCGCAGCAGCGGAGCTCCAGGAGGCCACGGGGCTGCTTGCTTTTCTCTCTGTCCACCACTGTCCTGTGGGGAACGGCAGACGACAGTGAGACACCAGTGCTGTGATGCGCGCCTTCCCCAAATAGTTACTGAGCGCCAACGACGTGCCAGGCACCGTCCCAGGCGGTGAGACAGACAGACGAGCTCCCGGGCGGACGGGGCTGACACCCCAGTTGGAAGAGAAAGAAAATAAGCAATAAATAGAATAATAAAATGGGTAAAAGACACGGGATATTTGACAGTGATTTGTACTATGGGAAAGAAAAAGCAAGAACAGAGCAGCGTAAGCAGACCAGAAACGCTGGGCTGTGGCCCGAGTTTCCATTTGAAATAGCGCGATATTTGAGCAAAGTCTCGAGGGGGGGGGGTTCGTGGTATGGAAAAGGGAATGCCCCGTGCATAGGGAACAGCCCGCCTGAACCCCACGGAGGCCCTGACGGCTGGAATGGCATAAGCAGCGGAAGGGAGGAGGGTATGAGTGATATTGTAGAAGGAGGATGGTCCTATGTCAGTGGTTCTCAATCTGGGGAGATTTTGCTCCCCAAGGAACATCTGGCAACGTCTGGAGACTTTTTTGGTTGTCAGACTGAGGTAGGGGTGCTACTGACATCTAGTGGGTAGAGGCCAGGGATGCTGCTTACTACCCTACGATAAACAGGACAGCCCCCCACAACAGAGAATGATCCAGCCCCAAATGTCAGGCGTACTGAGGTTGAGAAATCCTGCTGTAAAGTGTTTGCGCCATCATAAGGTGCTTACTGGGTGACAGAGGGAGCCAGGCAGAGTTCGAAACGGAAGAGTCTTTTCAGAAAGATCTAGCCACAATTGGTCTCTTTACCCTCCAATGAACTCACCGCATCTGCTCTACTCTGGCTCTTTCCCGGCTGTCTTTGGTCCACCCCAAACGCCCACTCCCACATCACCGGCTCCCAAGGCTCAGATCAAATGTCGCCCCCTGCTTTGCCCAAGCGGACTGTATCCCTCCTTCTGGTTCTCCCACTGCAATCGCCTTCTCTCTGGCCTGATTTTCCTTCTGTCATTTATAAGTTACTTGTTGACCAATCCATCTCCCCTGCCAGACTTCAAAACTTATCTTTGCAACCTCAGAACAATTGCATCATGGAATTATTATTATTATTTTTTTTTTGTGAGGAAGATCAGCCCTGAGCTAACATCCATGCTAATCCTCCTCTTTCTGCTGAGGAAGACCGGCCCTGAGTTAACATCTGTTGCCAATCCTCCTCCTTTTTTTCCCCAAAGCCCCAGGAGATAGTTGTACGTCACAGTTGCACATCCTTCTAGTTGCTCTATGTGGGACGCGGCCTCAGCATGGCCGGAGAAGCGGTGTGTCGGTGCGCGCCCGGGATCCGAACCCGGGCGGCCAGTAGCAGCGCGCGCACTTAACCGCTAAGCCACCGGGCCGTCCCATCGTGGAATTATTTATTAGCACTTGTTGCATCCACTCTACTGGTTTCTACCAACTATTATGAATGGCAAAAAGAAAAAGAAGAAGGCTGAGGAACAGTAAGTGTAAGGTCTGAAGGCTAAAACAGCCCTCACTCTTGTTAAGCTTCTGAGGTCTATTTTTTTTTGGTAAACTTCTTATTTTAGAATGGTGAGATTTACAGACAAGTTGCAAAAACAGTACAGAAAATTCCCTATACTACTCACCATTTTCCCGTGTTAACCTCTGACATTTTCGTGGTAGGTTTGTCAAAACTAAGAAACTCACACTGGTACATTACAATTACCTAAACTCCACACTATTCTGATTTCACAAGCTTTTCCACCCACGTCCATTTTCCATTTCAGGATCCCATACAGGACACCACACTGCTTTTAGTTGTCATGTCTCTTTGGAACCCTCTAGTCTGTGACAGTTTCTCAGACTTTCCAGGTTTTTTATGATCTTGGCAGTTTTGAAGATTACTAGTTGGGTATTTTGTAGGATGTCCCTCAGTTGGGATTTGCCTGACTTTTTTTCTCTGGCTAGACTGGGGTTATGGGTTTGAGGAGGAAGTACCACAGAGGGGATGTGCCCTTCTGATTACGTATCTCTGAGGATGCTAACCTTGATCACCTGGCCGAGGCAGTGTTAGCCAGACTTCACCACCGGAAAGTTACCTTCCCTCCCTTTCCATCTCTATCTTTCAAAGCAGGTCACTAACCACAGTTCATACCCCAGGCGAGAGGAGAGAGAAACACCTACAAAGATTCCTTGGAATTCTCCTGTCGGGAGATTGTCTCTTCTCTTGCATTTATTTATTTCTCATCTTTCTGAGAGGGGGCAAAAGTAGAAAATTGAGGTTCGCATGAAATCTGGGAAAGAAGAAAAGCTTCTAGTCCATACCTAAGGTTCCTTTTCTCTTCCATGGTCCTTGGCTGATTCCTGATGGCTTTAATTCTGTCTCTAGATGTCATGGGTATCAGAGATGCAATTAACTTTTGTCCTGCAGAAGAAAATAAATGGAGTTTAATATATTTTTGTCCTTTAACAGAACAATAGCATTTTAGAATATGGCACTGAAGTTAGGGCATGTTTTTACAAGAGCACAAAGAGAGAAGCATATACGGAATCAGGGATCCCGCAGGTCACAAATGAAAACAAGACGACAGCATGCATATGTGTTAAACCTCAAAGCTGAAACAAATGATAATGTTTGCATGCAATTCCAATTCAATGTTTTCCTTTTTCCCGTGACATGAAACATTTAGCAAAGCCAACAAGACCCTGCACCTTTGGTCAGCCTCCTTCTCGTCCCTCTCTTTAATTTCCCGCATCGCTTTCTCTTGCCCCCTGTACTCGAGGCCCCAGCACCTTCTCTACATTTCTTGACTGTTGTCATATGCTCTTCCCCGCTCTGGAACACACGTCCCCCTCTTCTCCCGCTAACTCATAGTCACATTTTGGGTCAGTGTGCTAGATACTGTCTGTCACTACCCCAAAGTCATCTCTCCTTTTTAATGGAATCCCAATTTTGTTTGGGAATTGACCCCCCTTTCCCTCCCACGGCCCTGAGCTTCTGCAGGGTGGGACCCATCTCCAGGCACAGGGGGCAGGTCCCGATGAGTCCAAGTCAGTCCTGATCGTCCTGTCTCCCTTGCAGGTGACTGATTCAGGTACAGTTCTGTGGGGGGGGGGGGGCTCTGCTCAGGAGCTTCGTGGAAAAGATTTCTTCCTTCTCAAAAAAGCAAAACTCAAAAAAGAAGGAAAGACAGATCCTTCTTCCTCTGGGTGGTGGTGTGTCCGCCTGTGACGCCCGGCACTGCTACCACCGTCTTGTAACAGTGAGGAAGCCAGCTGGAGGGCCAGCTGGGGCAAGGACCGAGGGAGTGGGATGGCTCCCCGGCTGCATGATTGAGCCAGGACTCCTTACTTTAATGACAGTTGAGGTGGAAGGAGAGTCCCAGAAGAGGGCCACCAAATCACTTGGCTGAAGACGAGGAATTTGTGTGTCTCCTGAGAGGGAAGATGGAGTAGACAGAGAGGAAGAAAGGAGAAGGGAGGAGGAAAAAACACAGAGACACGGGGAGACAATAGCAGGAGAGGAGACACCCCAATCTTCACTAAAGGGCTAAACCCACGAAAGGCTTTGGTGTAAGTGGATTTTTTTTCTCTCTTAGAAATCACTGAGAGCGGATGGACTTCATGCCTTGAGTATTATAGAATGAAACAGAAACAGCATCTGTGTTTGGCCTCAGGAGGAGAGAGGCTGGGAGGTCTCAGCTAAGACCTGGTTTCATGGCAGACTTGGCAATGAGAAGCATCCTATGTTGCCGAATCCAGGATAGGGAGGAATTGGAGCAAAGCAGCCCAGTAGTTAAGGTGTCAGGCTTAGGAATCAGGCAGACCTGCATTTGGGTCCCAGATCTTCCAGGCCACTTGATTTCCTTGAGCCTCAGTTTCCTCATCAAGCAAAAGGAATGACAAACATGGCTGTCTCAAAGGTGTGGAGCGTGGGGAAGCAAGTGAAACTAAATTCAATGGATAACAAAAAGAAAGTGCTGGGCAGAGCACCAGGCACATGAAATGAGCTTGATCAAGGTAAGCTCTTGTTAGGGGTTCAATGCTCTCAAAGTGACCCCTTCCTCGGTCTCTAGCATCCTCGGGTCATCTACCAAACCTTCAACCTTCTTGATGTCTTAAAACTAGCAAGCCCTGTGGACACTTGTAAGCCTTCTTTGCTCCTGTTCTAACTCCCTTGCCCCAGGTCTGACTACCTTGGATGTTTTCATGTGAAGTACAAGCAGTGTCTATGCCCACACTTTCCGGGCTACGAAGGGTCTGAGAAATAGATTCATTCAAAGATGTTGAAAACCGTAACAACTGCTTGCCCTTTTTGTCATTCCAGCTGCTGAAAAGCTGTGAGTCTGTCACACCGATGTCAGAAATGGAGGAGACCATACTGAAGCTTGAGTTCACCAGCATCTTTTCTAGAACAGTCTGATTGGAAGATGGATGGCTTTGGACCCCAGATGGCACATTCTCAACCTCGATGGTGATTTCATTCATTCGGTCATCAGACAGCATCTCTCGCCTTCTCCCAGCCTTGTTCTCCAGGGAGGGCTTCCAAAGGGCTCACACAGCCGTCACACTGGCGTTGCCGGGAACCACCGGGAAAAGTGACGACAATCGCAAAGGGTTGCCCCCTTCACATTTTTTTAAATGCCACAATGAGATCGCCAAAGCCAGCCCCACACAAATCACAACATAACCCCCCACATCGACACCAGGGGGGTCTCCTCGTGGAGAGGTGTGTTTTCCCACAGAGACTTCTATCTCCGTAGCTAGGTAAGAAATCGGAAGCAGAATTCTTTATTAAAGACAAAGGGATTCTAGAAACAGAAGGCAAGGGTTCTTCTAAATGACTCATAATCAAAGGGCAAGATTTTCTTTTTAATTTGATGCCTCTGGCCTAAAACTTATATTTATTATTTTACATGCCTATATAAATCTAGGTGGGTTTATAGTGAAATGATTATTATCTCCTGACTGCCTTGGGTGGCGAACCTGCCTCCCGATATCCATTCTCTCTTTTTCTCCTGCCAGAAGAAACCTCCATTACAACTATTCCAGCTAAGGGTGGATCCTTTGTGGCTAAGGGTGGATCCTTTGTGGCTAAGGGTGGACCTATGACCCCATTTTGGCCAATGAGACATGTGGCTTCCAGGAATGCTCTTTAAAAGGTGAGAGTTTCCTGTTTCACTTTTTGCCTGTCACCATTTCTCCTTCTTCCTGACCAGAGGCTGCCATTTTGAAAACAAGAGGACAAACATTCACCTGCTAAGGATGGTGGATAAAGAAGCTATAGAAGGAGCCTCAGTCCTCAAGAGCATCAAGGGCAGAGGTGTCGTACAAACTTTGGACTCCCTCCTTCCACGCTTCTTGTTACATGGGAAAAATCAATCCCTTTACTGCTAAGCCGCTGTCCTGTTTCAGGGCCAGGAACCTGAACACAATTCCTACCCAATAGACCTGATTTGGAAGTCACCTCAGCCAAGTTTATTTAACTGGGGAGAAACTGGGGCTCAGAGAAATGAACTGACCCCCCTCATCACATTCTCATGAAATGGCACGACTGGACAGAGCTCTACGCCTTCTCCCCACCGAGGATAACTCACAGTAACAATACCAGCCATTACTGCCGGCCAAGTGCTTTAAATAGAGTCTATCATTTCATTCGCATAATCGCCCTGTGAAGTAGGTCCTACACTCAACCCCATTTTATAGCAGAAAACTGAGGCTCCAAGAGGTTATTAGCCTAAGTTCACAAACCCAGCAAGTAGGAGAGCTGGGGGTGACACCCAGGTCTGTCTGGCCCCAAAGTGGGGCCTCTTAACCACGTCACCCTGGCCCTTTCCTGTAACAAGATGCTGATGTATCATTCATTCCTACAAATAAATGAATATCTGAGGGCCTACTATGTGCCAGGCGCTTCCTAGGTGCACAGCACAATCCATTAAAGTGACTCTTTATCAGGAGGCTGTATGTGGTTTGAGAATTAAAACCGATGCAAAACAAAATCCTGAAGGAAAAAAACGGTGAAGAAAACTAGGTTCAACTTTGGGTCTTCTCTTTCTTTACTTCTCTCTGCCTTCTGGGGACTCTTCTTTTCCCAGAGGCCCCTAGACCTCATGCTGGCTGGATGGAGCAGTCTCTAAAGTGTAAAGGCATTTCTTTCCCTGGTAGCTAAAGCCATTCTCTGCTCCAGCGGGAACCAAATGGAGAGCATAATCCTTTATATCCCGGTGGTTTTCTCTCCCGGTAGCCATAACGACCCTTGTGGGAGATACAGGAACCCTTGAGAAGACTCATAAAGAAGGAGGCTAAAGGTTATCCCACAGGTTCAGGAGCCGGAAGGTGAGAGAGAGTTTTAAGTCATGGGGCCCCTCGATTTGCGTTATTATATAGAAGAGGCTGTCGGTTTATTCCTTGTTGTTCACAGATTTGCCTCTCGGTTCCAGCATTCTCTGACCTCTCTCCTCTGTTGCTTCCTTTTAATTTCTTAGTCTCTGCCTCTAATCAGACCTTCATCACCACACATGGTGGTCCTTACAGAGCTTCCTAACTGATTCCAGAAACTTCTGTCTTTCACCAGTCTGATGGCTCCTACACTCTACCATCATAATAATTATATGATGATTCAGAAAAATTTTGATCAATGCACTGCCACCTCACCAACACATGTATTAGCCACGGGCTGGACATGTGACCCAGGCTTCTTTTCTATGGTAAAAATGACGGGCCCATGTGTAGACATGTTCCCCAAATTGGTCTGGACAGACTCTTTCCTCAGCTTTGACTGACAGACCCAGGGAGAAAGAAAGAATGTCCAATGATATTGCTGAGCTGAGGGCGTGTATCTAGGCCTGCTGTTGGTCATGCTCCCCAGCCTGTGGAGAAGGAAATTAAACAAGAAATAGGAAATAAATTAAGGAAGTCCTGCATCAGTTACCACACCAGAGGCCAAGAGGAAATGGCAACGTCAGCATTGCCTAGAACACATTCCGTCTCCAGGGTTGATTTTTTGGCCACTGTCCATTTAAGCCTTACCTTCAGGTGACTTGTGCCAATCATATCCAGACAAGGGTGGGTCTCCATAAGCTGGGCCGAGGCTACTTTCCCCCACAAATGCAGGGTTCACTGGAATGAAGAGGCAGGAGACATCGTCAATTAATCCCACCACACAGGTATTACTGAGCACACATGGTCAGTAAGGCTGAGATCGTGACCTTGAGGTTCTGACAGACTAATGATTAAGCACTTGGGTGGAAAAGAGGACATGAATATGAAAACAGTGCGGTTAAATACAAACAGCCTGATGAATGGTTTTCATTGGACTACAAGCCATGCTTAAACGAATAGTTACACTGAGATCCAGGACATACCCAAACATGTATATCTGAAAAGTAAGTTTCACAAGACAGTACTTTGCTTGACTACATAAACAGCACTCTGGTATATTATTCTATTCCAATCTTTTCAATTTCATTTTTAAAAATTAATTTCACAACTTGTATGGGTTACAGCTCAAGAGTTTGAAAAATACTTGTCTAGGGGTTGGGATGAATAGGCAGAACACAGAAGGTTTTTAGAGCAGTGAAAATACCGTGTATGATACCGTATTGATGGATACATGTCATTATATATTTGTCCAAACCATAGAACGTACAACACCAAGAGTGGACCCTGATGTAAACTATGGACTCGGGGTGATTATGATGTGTCAATGTAGGTTCATCAGTTGTAACAAATGTCCCACTCTGGTGTGAGTTGTTGATAATGGAGGAGGCTGTGCATGTGTGGGGTCAAGGGGTATATGGAAATCTCTCTACCTTCTGCTCAATTTTACTGTGAACCTAAAACTGCTCTCAAAAATTGTCTTGAGGGGCCGGCCCAGTTAAGTTCACATGCTCTGCTTTGGTGGCCCAGGGTTTGCAGGTTGAAATCCCGGGCACAGACCTACCCACCGCTTATCAAGCCATGCTGTGCCAAGCATCCCACATATAAAGTAGAGGAAGATGGGCACAGATCTTAGCCCAGGTTCAATCTTCCTTAGCAAAAAGAGGAAGATTGGCAATAGATGTTAGCTCAGGGCTATTCTTCCTCACCAAAAAAAAAAAAAAAAAGGTCTTGAGATAATTATTTTTTAATTATTATTTTGGAGCATGTAAAAATCAGGAGGTTTCACATAAAAACCCAGATTTCTGGCTTCTTTAGAAAAATCTATGGATCTGGCCACACTGAGCCCACATTTCTGCATGTCCACAATGAGCCGAACCTGAACACTGGCAACCTCACAGAGGCACAAGGCACACATGCCCTGGTTTTCCACAACCCCTACCCAGCCTGCTTTGATAACTGATGACACTGCTTGTCTCTCTAGACATTGAGTTCTCAGCCCTTGTTGAGATGATGTAAGGTGGTGTCTGAAGGAGAAGGGATTAACCAATTCCTCTATTGCTCTAAATCTCTAATGACTGCGTCCCCAAGTCCACCAAATTTTACTTTCTTCCCAGAATATGATCCTCATCTTCACAAATGCTTACCATAGCCAGTTCCAGGAGCACCTGGCACAGAGCGGCCATATGGATTTGCCATCTCCATGGAATTCATTTCAATGCTTCCAGGGTAACCTTCATTCTCTCTCTCAAGGATGCCCAAGGGGCCATCATCCCCATGACGAAATGAGGGCCGGATTGAAGATGTTCTGCTGAGAAACCTGAAATCCCAAAATGATGGATCAATATCCATCCAGTAGCGTGGTAAGGATGGTTGTCCATCCATCCATCCATTCCACAGATGCCAACTGAATGCCAACCATGTGTTAGGCATGGGCTAGGGTGAAGACACAAAGATAAAGACATGGATATCTACCTCCCAGTACAATCTGGGAGAGCTCGTTAGACAGAGCAATTATAATACGAGTAGAAACTGATAAATATCAGAAGACAGGCCCAAGGAGTTCAGAGGAAGGAGAGAATTCTGGCTGGGAGATTTACACAGAAAAGAGACATCCGAGCTGGGGTTGGAAGGACAAATTCATACATAAAGAGTCAGGAGGAGGACCTTACAAGGATGAAGAACGGCAAAAATAAAGGTGTGAGACAGAAAGTGCTGAATATATAAGGGGAATGCTGTGAAAATCAATTAACCTGGAGCAATGGTTCTCAATTTTATATGTATACCAATTCCCAGCCCCACTCCAGAAAATTAAATCAGAAGCTCTGAAAGATGTGCCCAGACATCTGTAGTGTTTTTAAAGTTCCCCAAGTAATCAGGTAATTCTAAGGATCAGCCAGGGTCAAGGTCAAGAACCACTGACCTAGAGTATAGGGTGGAGGAAGGGAGGGGACAGGAGAAGTGGGGGGTCAAGTCAGGCCGGTCTTTGGCTGGCATCTTACAATTAGCCTGTGCATCCTCATTCCTAAATGTTGTCAGAGGTGAGGCAGTGCGGCCTTTTGCCCAAGGGTCATGGGGAACCATGGAAGATGAGAAGTAAAGTAGTGACAGGGTCAAAGGTGCATTCTGGAGTGATGGATCAGGCAGGGGGGATAAGACCAAGGAGGACATTTTGACCTGGTCCTGTAACTCTGCTGTTTAGGACCTGAAGACATTTTGACCCTACTGCACACCCAAATCCCATATCCTTGTTCCTAGAGATAAACACAAGCCATTAGTTTTTGTTGAATTCATATTACTAGCAGAAATAGCACATGCAAAACAAGACCCAAATTAGTTAAAAGTTCACATGGTAAAATTTGTTATAGATTTTTTAAAAGCCTGACTAAAGAATCACATCTTGTTGGCAATACGAATGTTGAAAAATTTAACCCAGGAAAAATTAGATCTGGTAGAACTAAGTCAAAACTAACACTGTCAATGTCCAGAAATGCACCTAGTAAAATCCGTCAGTGACCAAAAGTTGATGGAAGATTAAAATCTTTTTGACAAAATTCAGATATACAGAATCTGAAGCAAGAAAAATTGGACTTAATTTTTTAAAATGGCCTTAAGGGAACACCGACAATAGCAAAAACTATAATTGATAAAATTTGATGAAAACAACAACAATGCAGAAGATCAATGAACCAAATCTGCTGTAAACATGAAAAGTGATCAATTCTGATAACAATAATTTCACTAAAATAAAAATGAAAGTGGAAAAAAATCAGGAGTGGCTCAACCATCTTGTATAAAGAAAACCAAGTGAGGAATTAAATAGACTTCATGGAGTTAGATCTTCAAAAGATTTTCTTGATTAAAAAGCATTCCTGTTGATAAAATTCTAGTTAAAATGTTGGGGTTCATAACTATCAAGTCTTACCCCTAACCCTATAGGCAAAGGCGCAGGATGGAAACAGTGGGGATCTAAGTGTCTCGCAGGGATTGGATAGGAAGAGGTAGGGGACTTGGGAGGATGTTATCCAAGCAAGAGGTGATGAAAGATTATGTTCAGGTAAGGGCTTGAAGCCTCAGGCTGAGAGTCCATGGCCCAGGTGAGGTCTACAGGTAGGTATGAAAGGTTAACCACAACTTCAGATCTTAGAAACCATCATACATGTCCCTAACCCAAACAATGCCAACCAAGTTCCATTGACTTGATGACCCAGCACTTAGCCCCCACCCCCAATGGAGAGAGATGCCTGCACTTACTCCCTAGTCATTTCTGGGGTCTCAGAGGAGCCATAATCAGGACCATCCTCAGCATCTGGGTAATCAGGCTCCCCCCAAAAGTTTGAAGGGTTCCGATTGTTCTCAGCGCCAGGGTAGTCTGGTTCCCCAAAAATGTTTGGAGAGTTAGCTTCATTCTCAGCACCTGGATAATCAGGCTGCTCCCGAGAGTCTCTATATGGACTGATTCTGGAACCAGCATATTCTGAATTCCCTCTGGAGCCTGGATGGTTGGAATTGGCTCTGAGGCCAGGATGGTGAGAGTTTCTCTGAGCTCCAGGGTAGTCTGGTTCTCCCATGGGGTCAAGAAAATCAGGATTTGTTCTGGATCGTGCATAGTTTCCACTGCTTCTGGAACCTGCAAAGTCAGGACTTCGTTGAGATTCAGAGTAGTCTGGCTCTCTGGATGAGCCTGGACGGTATGGATTGCTCCCAGATCCAATATAATCCGGCTCTGCTAGAGATTTGGGATAGTCTGAACTTCTTCTGGAGTCTTCAGAGTATGGGTTGCTCCTGATGCGAGGATAGTCTGGATCACTCTGAGATCCAGGATAATCTGGTTCTGCTAGAAACCCAGGATAGTCTGGACTTGTTCTGGAGTCTTCAGAGTATGGGTTCCTCCTGGTGCTGGGGTAATCTGAGTTGTTCAGAGGACCTGGAGAATCTGAATAATCCCGAGTTTTCAAATACCCTTGCGTATAGTTCCGAGACCTTGAAGAGTCAGAGTATTCTGGATCTTCCTCATACCCGTTATTCCTGTAGTAGGCAGACATGCTGGTATAGATTCTTTACCCTGGAGTGTTAAAATGTTCCTGCATTTGCAGTTACTCAGGGCTCTTTTTTTGTTATCTGAAAAACAAAAAGGAAGGAACAGTCAGATTTTTTCCTTTCTTCCCTGCAGAGATTGCTGGTTATCTTCCAGTATCTGTTCTCCTGTCTTTCATAGTCGGGTGCACAGCTGCCTGGAATAAAGACTATGTTTCCCAGCCTCCTGTGCACCCAGGTGTGGCCATGAGAAGGGTCAATAAGATGTGAGCAGAAGCTATATATACAATATATATATTCCAGGTTGTGCTGTTAAAGGGAAGGAGTCTTCTGCCCTTTCTCAGTCTTCTTACTTCCAGCGGGCTGGAACGTGGAAATGACGGGCACCATGTTGGGCACGCACACAGAGGCAGCACCCACCGTAGGGAGAGCAGCCCAACAGATGGAAGAAGCCAGTGACTTCATAGACCAGCGCCAACACATCAGCTTGGACTTTTATGTAAAGAAAGAAATAAACTTTTATCTTATGTAAACCACTGTGTTTTTTGGGTCTCTGATACATGTGGCCAAACTTACATCCTGACCAATACAATCCCTCAATTGGGAGGGAAAGGAACAATGAACCAAAAGATTGGAAGGAACAGGCCTTTTGAGCACTCTGATTGCACTAGTGGTTCTCAGGCTCAAGGTATAAATCAGTATAAGTGCACAAAGGAAGAACAGTCGATGGTAACTAGAGGACTTGGGTAGGGAGACAATTGCTACCATCTCTTCCACTTTATGACTTTATGATAATGAAAATATGACTTTATGAGTTCCCTGAGCTTTGATCCATAGACCTGGCATACTTTCAAATCAGAAGTGATTGGAGTGTTGATTTCTAAGTGTGCTGGATATCTGTTGTTTTTACTTGCCTACTTCCCATTTCTCCTTTTGGCCTCGTGCCCTGATTTTCCTCTGGGCATCTGCCCATCCCCCACTCTTGATCCAGGTGATTCAGGAAGGGCTGATTGCATTCCTGATTGGGAGGATGGCCACATGACCCAGGCCTGGCCAATCAGTGTGCACCATGCCCCTGGCCACAGGGTTTGGTTCCGGAGTGGGCACATAACCTAAGTCAGTCTTCTAGGACCTTGACTAGACTAACTGGGATAGACATGCTATTGTTTCACTAGGGTTGCTACAGTGACAGAATGTAAGCCTGGAACTGCTGGTGTAGGGTCAGTAGGAACAGTGACGAAAATAATAAGTAGGGGAGAAAATTTAAAGGAAGAATCAATAGGATTTGTGGACTGACCGGATATGGGAAGGGTGAGAGGTAAGGAAAATAAAAGACAAAAATATCTCCATAGTTTCAAACCAGCATTAGATGAATGGTGATGCCTTTGAAACAAGGCAGTAGATCATTTGTAAAGTTCAGCCAATGTTTACAAGTTTATCTCTAGGCAAACCTCAAGTGTTAGACTTTTTGTTGAGAAATCAGATCTAAAAACAATATTAACTTTCTGCCATCACCTATAGTCTTAGAATGTTCACTTGCCAACTCAGTTCTATATTTCTCAGCATGGTGGAAGTCCATTTTCTTTAATTCCTTGCCCAGCATCTTTTTTTCTCTTTTGTGGTCACACTTTTCCTTGAGTAACAGCCCCATTCTCAGTCCTTGTGGGCCAGGTGTGGACATACTATCCAATCAGGATTATTTTCTTCCTGGCCACAGTGATTGAGTCAGGGTATATAACCCAGTCAGGACTAACGCGATTCAATTCTGGGAGTTTTGTCAGGACTGTTGGGAAGAGAGAAGCTCTCTCTTTCTGCTGGACCTGGAGTTAGGAAGTTATAAGCCAGAAGCTGCCAGTGGTCACAAGGAGGAGGCCTGCCTGAGAGTGGTGCCAACTCAGAAGAGAACAGAGCCAAGAGACAAAGAGAAAGAAGGATCAATGCTGATGACATCAGTTAAGCACCTGAATCCAGCCATGCCTGAAGGCAGCCAACCACCAGATACTTGAGTCATTACATTCCTTTTTGACTTAAGTTAGTTTGAGTTGGGTTTCTGTCATTTGCAAATGAAAAAGAATTCTGACTAGTATGCTATACTTTGCAAACAAACATCTACACAAACTGTGAGTGCTATGAAGACTAGATGCTATGTTTTATTGCTAATTATTTTTCATGACATGGAAAATGAACCCATTTATTTATCTATATGGTAAGACCATAAATTAACATATTTATGGTCTAGGACTTCCATGGCCTACCAAACCCTAGCTGTTAAGTCTAACAAGCTAAATGATGCCTACTAAATTCAAGAAAGTAAGCACTGGTACAGTATCAGCCTAAGAGAAATGAATATGTCCACCAAAAGGCAACAAGAGTGTTCACAGCAGCTGTTTTTTAAAAATAAATGCCAGAAATTGGAAACAACCCAAATGTCATTCAACAGTAGAAGAAGTATATAAATTGAGACATATTCATACGATGAAACACTACACAGCAGTAACAAAGACTGAACTTCTGTTACGTGCAAAGACATGGATGCGTCTCACAGATGTAAAGATGATTAAAAGAGTCGGATTCAAAAGAGTACATACTACATAACAACTCCACAAAGTTCAAGGACAGGCAAACTAATAAATGGTGCAGGAAGTCAGAATAGCATACCTTGGGGAAGGGAGGGGAGGGGAAATGACAATGGGGAGCCTCTGGGGAGCTGGACATGTTGTGTATCTTGATCTGGGTGATGGTTACATGGGGGTACATATATGTGTGTGTGTGTGTACAAATTCATCAAGTACACTTAAGAACTGTGCACATCTCTTTAAATATAATACTCCTTAGTTTTAAAAAGAAAAGGAAAATGAAAAAGAATTAAACTAGAAGTCAGACCATAAAACCTTCTATTTCCTTACAGGGCCATCATACCAACTGAAAAAAAAAAGAATGGTCCTGGCTCACAAACGTTTCCACTTTTCTTATATATACATCACAGAAAATCTGAATTAATGAAAGCAAAAGCTAGCTGAGGGCAGGACACATTACCTGAATTGAATGGTCTGCCTGTGCGATGCTGTAAAATGAAAATGGTTGGGAACCCAGCCCTTGGCATCAAGTATAACTGGGTTTAGTTTCCATCTGTTGGCTGTGTGGACTTGGGCAAGCCACTGAACCTCTCTGAGTCTATTTCCTCACTCATCCAATACTGACAACAATATCTCATAGGCTCCTTGTAAGGAATGAGCAAGACAAGGCACAGAAAGCTGCTGGCACCAAGGAAGCATCCACTGAACAGAAGCTATTATCCACCGCTATTTTTATTTGTGTGTAGTGTAAACCCCGGCAACTTCCAAAAGAGGCAGGAGTTGGTAGACAGTAAAAGTCTTGCACTCACCCAGGACATGATTAAAAAAATAGAAAATGGTTTATAATAAAGTAGGGGGGGAGCCATTCTACAAAATTCCCAGGTTGACATAGGGACTGTTTCTGAGAATTACATTTTGCTGTGAGCTTCTTATGAGCCCATGAAAGGGAATCATGATTTCATGATTCCATGAAAGGGAATCATGACAGGTGATCTAATATTCACTACTTGTGAAAAAGAGGAAGTATACCAGTTTTTCAAGAGGGCCACACCTCTTCCCAGGATGAATTTCTGAAAAGAATGTACTATGAGAACCCTTCCAAAGGGATCAGATAACCACCTAATAAAGTCAGGGCTCAAGGTCACCAGCAAAGAGCTCAGAAGCTCTGGCAACTACAGGCTGAGCTGCAGGGGTAGAGCGGGGAGGAGACACTGCAAGCCTCAGCTCACTGCGAGGAGGTGAGCATCCCCCTTGCAGAAAGGCAGTGGATACGGGGATTTCCGGCCAGTGGGCTGTGAGCATAAGTGGCTGTGTCACTTCTAAGCCAAAGCATTTAAGAGCCGAAATACAACCCTCTAGCTCCCTTTTCCCCTGCAGTGGCAACCAGTGGCATTTCAGACAGGGACCCGTTCACCAGCCTGGGTTCCTGCATGACTAAATGGAGCAGAGCCCACCCCCACCAACCCACCATAGCTTTCCATGAGCAAGAAATGAACTTTTATGATATAAGGCATGGAGATTTTGAGTTTGTTTCTTGATGCAGCAGAGCTTTGGTCTTTGTTTAGAATCTTTGACAAATTCATTTATATATAGATATTCATATAACACACACATAAACAGACAGGTAGATATGTAAGTAAATAGACAGACAAGTAGACGATAGATAGATAGATGATAGATAGATAGATAGATAGATAGATAAATAGATAGATGGATAGATGGATGTTATATGCGATCAGCCAACAATTAGTTTCAAGTCTGTTGCTACAATTCTCTGCTCTACTGCTGTCAGTTGACAAGAGCTTGTGTATTGCATGTCTTTTTCACAGTCCAGGCAGGAATGGCTCTCTAACCGCTATCGGCTGCACTGGAACAAATTCCTAAACAAAAGCAAAGCTGAACCAAAGAAAAGGACTGGGAAAGAAGAGGAAGGAGGAAATAACTACAAGGAAATAGTCTCATATTGATTGCCAAATGAAGAGGGAGTGGTTTTCTGAGAACCTTACTCATAGTTTCCTATAAACTGTTAGAGGAACAAATATCCCGCCTTTTCAAAGGAATAATTTTGCTTTGTGCCTCGGAAAAAGCACAAAGAGGACACTATACTTTTTCTCCAAATTTTATTGCCCTAGCACCCTCCCAATAAGGGCCTTTGAACCATCTATTCCGAGTCCTCCTTTTGACATCTTGTTGAGGGCCTCCCACTTCACCATTTCTATGGTTTTCAATCACATTCTCAAGCAATTATGTGCCTTCTATGTCTGTTAACTGGAGACCCCCTATTTGATCTTGCAAGGCACCTGGTTTGAATGGGTGGTCAAAACTATTTCGCATTTGTCATCCAGCTAGTCCAGGAAAGTTCAGGGGATAAGTTACATCCTACAATCTTGAGGAGGTCACATTCAGGCTATTTATCTGGATCTCTGCTGCCTCTTAGCTTTCCCAGACTTAAGACAACATAAGCCACAGCAAGCCACCCACCAGCTCTGCTCTGCAGATGCCAAA